TGGCTGTCTTGCAGGTCAGGTGTCTGGCCCTGCCCATTCCTCAGGGGTCATTCTGAGTCCCACCCTCAGCGAGAAGCTCGTGGTGGTCAGCACTTCCCTGGGGCTTCCTCACCTGAGGCCTTCAATGAGGGGGTCAGGGGCACAGGCTCTGCCGCAGATGGCTGTAGGCTTGAGCTTGTTTCCCTAATGCTTGCTGTGCCACCTTGGGAAGGGGCTTAACCACTCTGTGCAGAGGTGTGCCTATGCTCACATGGTGTTGGAAGCTGAATTGTGTCCCCCGCCAAATTCATATGTGCATGTCCCAACCCCCAGTACCTCTAAATGTGATTGCATTTGGAGACAAGGCCTTTAAAGAGGTAATTAATATAAAATCAGGTCATTGGGGTGGGCCTTAATCTAATAGGACTGGTGTCCTTGTAAGAAAGAGAGATTAGGACACAGACACATACTGAGGGAAGACCTCGTGAAGATACCGGGAGAAGACGGCCATCTACAAGCCAAGGAGAGAGGCCTCAGAAGTGTGACGAAAGAAACGGAAGAACAGCTTCAGGGCTAACAGCAAGCACATTTTGGCTTCTGTAAGAAACTTGCTTGCTTGCTTGGGGCGGGAAGAACCAGGTTCCTGATTGGCTGATTCAAAATTAAACAGCTCCCTCCCGCCTTGGGGACTTTCCGGCCGGTGAAGGGTATAAAAGCCTCGCCCGGCTGTTAGTCGGGGTCTCACTCACTTCTCTCCGAGTGGGACCCTGTCCGGACGGTTTGTGTAAGCTTCTATACTTGTACTTGTATAAATCCTTTGCTGATCTTTCTGCTTGGTGTTGGTGATTCTCGGGTGTCCTTGGTTGGGACACGGGTCGCATTTACCGGGGAACTCGACTCCAGGCGTGTGGCTCCCGGACCGCAGCAGAAGGATGTCTATATATGTATAACTGAGTCACTTTGCTGTACAGCAGTAATTAGCACAACATTGTAAAGCAATTATACCTCAATTAAAAATTTAAAAGAAGAAGAAGAAGAAGCCAGCCCTGCTGACACTTTGGTCTCAGACTTCCAGCCTCCAGATCTGTGAGAAAATGAATTTCTGTTGCTCAAGCCGCCCAGTCGGCGGCACTCCTTGCGGCAGCCCTAGCAAGTCAACCCACGGGGTCTCCCCGAAGATTCGACGTGTTCGTACAAGTGGAGGGCTCAGAGCAGCCTAGAGCAGCCCAAGTGGGCGCAGCCCACACAGTGGCCAGTGGTCAGCCTGCAGGATGGGGCCACTCCGAGGACAGGAAGAGAAAAGGGAGTGAAAGAGGTGGTAACCCGAGCACACCTCGGCTGCTCCTCCTGGTCTCAGAGTGGCGGCAGCGAGTGGTGGCGTGAAGCGAGATCTTAACTGCCTGCCCAGGAATTGAACCTGGGGAGCCTGGATGAAAACCAGGAATCCCAGCCACCACACCCCCTGGCTCTTGCCCCCCCGTGAAAAATGCATTTCTCACGGAGGCAAAACTGTAAAAACAGGTACAAAGTTTATTATTAGAGGCACAGCACAACAACGAGTGGGAGAGCACACAGAGAAACAGTTTGTTTGGTTAAGGTAGAAGCAAGGCAGAGACGCACACCCGGAGGGAAAGGGTGTGGGCGTCCCCCGCAATGAGGAAGAGCTCCGGAAAGAGGCGGTGACGTCATCCATATAGGGCAGTTCTTCCGGGTCTTTGTTTACCTTTGGCCAATTATCTGGTTTCTTTTTCCACACCTGACGTGCCCTAGGACCCTCAACAGCATGCGTGCGCAGCTTTTTCCCAAGATGGATTCCAGCCGAGAGACCTATGGGACGGCCTTAGCCTCACATGTTATGGGGTGGTGCCCCCTCCTTTTTGACCCCAAGGAGCCTTTCTGCACATGTGCAATGTCTCCCTTGCCCCAAGGATGGGAAATACATAACCTCTTGATCTTTTAACAGAGTTTGTCCCACTCTGTTCCTGCCATAAAAATGTCCAATGTCTGCTTATTTACACTATTATTTCTGTTGCTGGTTTTTATATTGAGGTGCAGATCTCGAAAGATAGACAGGAGTCCGGTCATAAATATGCAGTCCTGGAGCCCCTTTGTCTCTTGCTTCCGGAAATGTAAACAGGGGGCTGGGAATGAATGTCCGGCCTGGAGCCCGTCCTCTTCTCACCCCAGGAAGTGCGAACAAGAGGCCAGTTGTAAATGTCTAGCCTGGAGCCCATCTACCTCCTGCCTCACTCTGTGCACCGCCTGTGATCTCTACTGGCTCTTACTTCACTCTGGCCACACTTCCGCTCCCCTCCTCAGGCCAGGACGTGCTGAACAGGCCGCTGTTCGGGCAGGTCCCTCCACTGGCTGAGCTGGTGGCCGCTCCTGCACCCTGGGTGCCTGTCTCCCATCTGTTGAGCAGAGTGTCCTGTGGGGTTGGGCTAAGGCGAGGCCAACACTGAAGGAGAACCAGCCAGGGTCAGGAAGGGGGATGGAGACACAATCACAGTCGGGCGTGGCCTGGGCTGATGCAGCGGGGAGGACGGGGCTGTGGAGGGAGAGAGGACCTAACCTGGGTGACGGGACAGGTGAGCTCGTTCCTGACACCATGATGATAACCCTTGACTGTTTCTCAGTCAGGGCTTGGGAAACGGTGGGTGTGAGTGTTCATCCCCGTTTGGCTGTAGGAACTGGGATGCCCTGACTCTGCATTGTTTTTCCAGTCCTGGGGTCCTAAACCGACTTGTCTTCTTCTTACCACTTTCCAGAATTCTCCTTTGGTTGTGTCTTGCACCATTCGCAGGGCTTATAGTTGTGAACAGAGGGAGAAGCAGGGAACAATGGGCCAATGTCATCTTGCCTGGATTGGAAGGCTAACCATGGGCCTCTAATGTGTTGAGTCACATCACGCAGGCTGACATTATCATAAACGGAAGTCTGACTTAACCGTTCTTTCTGGGTGTAGGCGCCAGGTTTGGGCACCAGGCCTTTTCTTATACCACACCAGAATCTTTCATCTGTTCAAGTGTCACTTGAGAAACTGGGGCGTCATGCATTATCCCTGCCATGGTTTTGGGGCTGCTGGTATATTTGGGGCTGTTTTTGTTTCAACTGATTTGCAGTAAAATTAGAGTGTTAGGCTTTGTAGGAGGAAATTTACAAACTCCTGCTTCCATCTACCTTCTCAACCCAGACTATAATTTTGAACTCACTTTGAAGAATAAGAAGGTGTTAGCCAGATGACTTCATGGGGCTGTGTCTTCCTGGAAGGAGAGATGCAGGTGCACAAAGACAGTGAGGGATGCATCAGGATGGGTTCTTAGAGAATGGCTTGAGGGATAGGTGGTTTGGGATATGGTGATGGAGAAGCAGGTTGGGTGAGACTAAGAATAACCTAGAACAGAGGTCAGAAAACTACAACCCTGGGGCTGCCTGTTTTTGCGAATAAAATTGTGTTGGCCCACAGCCACATTAATTCGTTTGCAGATTGTCTATGGTTGCTTTTGCACTACAGTTGAATAGTTGCAACGGAGACCCTATGGCTTGAAAAGCCTAAATAGTTACTATCTGGCCCTTTACCAGAAAGGTCTCCTGACCCCTGACCTAAAACGTCAGGTCGAGAAGCTTGTAAATTATTCTTTTGGGTTGAGGAGAGAGCAGTATTTTGACTATGGCCAGCTCTAAGATTTAGAAAATTCTCTAAATGTTATTACTTGATTTTGGCTATAGCAGGACTAGTAGAAGACAGGGAGGGTGGAAAGGGAAGATTCAGGAATGGAAAGAGATGGTGCTGGAGGTCAAGTCTAGGAAGGGATCCATGGGAGGGTTTTTTTTTTTTTTAACATCTTTGTTGGGGTATAATTGCTTTACAATGGTGTGTTAGTTTCTGCTTTATAACAGAGTGAATCAGTTATACATATACATATGTTCCCATATCTCTTCCCTCTTTGTCTCCCTCCATGGGAGGGTTTTGAGTAGACAGTGAGATTGACATGTAGCCGATGTGGTGCCCGGGACAGGACATACCCAGCCTCTGGGTGAAATGTGCAAACAAACAAAAAGAAAATGTTGCCTGCCATTTCAGTAAACAAAGGATGTTGTCCGCCATTAAACAATCAACCACTGCAGTCTCCCCCCAAGGTGTACCCTGAGGGGAATTCAGGACAAGAAAAACACGATCCTGGCCCTAGATTGTTAAGGCGCATATCTAAGGAGTAATTTCCAATAAGCTCAGACTCTTGCATCTTCCCATACATAGGAAAGCTATAAAAGCTCTAAAGTCATTACTTTGAGACGTCTGCTTCTTGTGGTTAGACATCTTTTGATGTTCGACTATATGTTTGTTTGTTTGTTTTCAGCAAAAACACCTTTATATCCTGGCTCCTCCCTGACCTCTTTGGAGCAGTTCCTCAGAGCTATGGGAGAGGCTATCTCCCAGGCTATAGTCCTCAGTAAGATCCCCAAATAAAACATAACTTGCAACTTTTAGGTTGTGTGCTCTTTTTTCAGTTGACAAAGGTCACAATGTATGAAGACTTCTGTTGCATATTTCGTACTTTCTTTTAATCCTCACAACAACCTTGTGATGCTGGACCTCTCACATCCATTTCACCAAAGCAGAAAACCAAGACATGGAGGGGTAAGGTGTCTTGCATGATATCATACTCTTTTTTTTTTTTTTTTTTTTGTGGTACGCGGGCCTCTCACTGTTGTGTGCTCTCCCGTTGCGGAGCACAGGCTCCGGACGCGCAGGCTCAGCGGCCATGGCTCACGGGCCCAGCCGCTCTGCAGCATGTGGGATCTTCCCGGACCGGGGCACGAACCCGTGTCCCCTGCATCGGCAGGCGGACTCTCAACCACTGCGCCACCAGGGAAGCCCATGATATCATACCCTTAATGAAAGAAAAAGCATGGATTTGATGCCAGGTCTCTCTGAATGCAAAGCCTAAGGTAGTTCCAATATAGCAGGAAAGTCGCTAACAGTAGTTCGTAAACCCAGCACCTATGGGGATGTTAAGCCTCTAAGGATTAGCCTGTGGGTCCCCCTTTCTGTAGGGGGTCCTGATCTCCGTGTATTCTGAGTAGGTGCTCTCCTGAGGATGCTTCCCATGAAAGCTGAGGGAGGCGTAATGCAGCTCTTCCTCCACCCCCAAGGTGGGGGTGGCCCCTGCTGAGCTTGTGGGGTCAGGAGGATCCTCTAACTTGCACTCTTGCCGGTGATCCTGGATGAAGAGCAAAGGAAGGGGTCAGGTCAAGGTGGTTTCGGGGGGAGAAGGGAGAGAGGGTCCGGGAAGTGAATTTGACTCTGGGACAGAGCATTTATTCTTTCTTCCATTCTGTTACGGAACGTTTCTGAAGGTTCCATTTATTCAGTCATCCAACATCCAATTGTTTTCCAGTGCTACTGAGCACTCACACAGACCTATGTAGAAAATATTACTATGTTACAGGGAGAGAAACTAAGTCTCAGAGAGGGTAGGTTCTTTCCAAGGTCACACATCTATTGATCACAAACTCAACTCCTGGCCCTCTGAGGTTTCCTGAGGTTTTCCATAAACAGGACGGTGTTTATGGAAAAACTCACTTCTCCTGTGTGTCTCTCCTTTACTCTCGCACTATTATCACACTCACAACACTTCTGACACCAGATGTGTGGGTTCTTTATACCCGCACACCAAGGAATTCTCCCACACCAGCTGGGTGTCCTACAATGTAACTCAATTCTGATACTCTCCGCCTGGAGATAGTGTCAGATCCCACAGGTTAAGGGCTCAATCCCATGAGACTGCCTCGCTGCCACTTCAGATGTCAATCACAAGCCCAGGTTGTCACCTGTGCTTCTGACCAACTGGCTATAAATCAGAGGTTCCTATGACCTCCTCCTGAGGTTTGATTAATTTGCTAGAGTGGCTCACAGAACTCAGGAAAACCGCTTACTTACTAGATTACTAGTTTATTATCAAAGGATACAGCTTAGGAAGGCATGAAAAGTCCGATGAAGAAATACACAGGGCAAGGTATGTGGGAAGGGGTGCAGGGTTTCCATCCCCTCTCAAGACACATCACTGTCCCAGCACCTCCACTTGTTCACCAGCCAGAAGCTCCCTGTACCCCATACTATTGGGATTTTTACGGAGGCTTCATCATGATTAAGTGATGCATCTCTCCAGTGCATCTCTCCAATGCATCTCTCCAATGCATCAGGCTTGTCCCAACCTCTGAGCCCAGCCAGCACTTGTGGCTCCCTCTGTTTACAGCCCTTCAACGACTCTCTTTCAGGGGCTCACACTGAGTTCCTTCACTTCTTGCAGGTGTTTTCTCAAAGACTCCCACCCCCAGAACCATCCCTCCCATTGCATTTCCCTCCATAGCTCTTATTTCCTGTATATTTTCACTACTTACCTGTTCATTGCTTTCACCACAACCGCCCCACTCCCCTCTCAATAAATGTAAGTCCTTGACAGCAAGGGACATTTTCCACTTGTAACATATGTCTCTGTAAAAATACAGATATGACCCAAGTGCTCAGAGCAATCAACAAGTGGGAGATAGTTGCTGAAGGAATAAGTGAATGCATGGGTGATGGATCTGCTCAGAAACCTCAGGCATGGCCACATTAGTCATAGTTCAAGAAATAAATGAAAGTCAGGGATCAGAGGATGAGCATGAGTCGGGCTGGTTGATACGGACACGTGAGGAGAAGGGGGCAGATGGGCAATGATTCTGAGGTGCAAAAAGCTGACTTTGCTCGAGCAAGCCTGTTTGGGAGAAGTGCAGCATTAAAGCTGACTCTGGTTTTCCTGCCCTAAATGTCAATCAAGTTGTGTGGCAGTGTGGAGAAACAGTGCATTTCAGACTTGGGCTGGATGGGACGACTGTCTTGGATGCAGGTAATGCAGGCGCAGGCAACGCAGGCGCAGGCAATGCAGGCGCAGGCAATGCAGGCGCAGGTAACACAGGTGCAGGCAATGCAGATGCAGGTAACGCAGGTGCAGGTAATGCAGATGTAGGCAATGCAGGTGCAGGCAATGCAGGTGCAGGCAATACAGATGCAGGCAATGCAGTTGCAGGTCATGCAGTCGCAGGCAATGCAGGTGCAGGCAATGCAGATGCAGGTAATGCAGATGTTTGGGGGAAGGTGGGGAGG